TACCCGTTAAATTCCAATTTAGGTAGCTTTTATTGTAATTTAAAAATCGTTCTTTATTTCTAGAAGATGTTAAATATGTCAAAAACCTTACATTTCAGTCATATAATCTATACTAATATATAAAATCCTTAAGTGACTGACATACTGATTGATCACGATCCTGCTCAAACCACTCAACGTAAGAAGCTCAGTTTTGGCATACAGGTTGACTCTAGAGTGTAGAGGTTCGATAAGAAGGGATTTTTCGAAATTCCAGTTCCAAGAGTGTGAAACCACTCCTCAAATATTACAATATTTTTTATTTAAAAAATGGTCAAGTTTCCGAAAAAACGCTTAAACATGTATATTTTATTTTGTTTTTTTACATATTTTAAGATTTTTTAAAAATGTATACAGGGTGTTTCGAAAAATCTGGTCATTGATTAATCACGATCCTGCTTAAAGTGCTTGACGTAAAAAGCTGATTTTTGGAAAACAGATTGACTTTAGGGTGTAGAGATTCGATAAGAAGGGATTTTTCGAAACTCGAATTCTAAGGGGGCGAAACGAAGGGCGAATTTTTTTTTTTAGAATTTAGAATGAGTGGGAGGGGGGTTAATCACTTCGACCTTACAGATCCATTGTGTCCCCCTTTCATAACAACTCATCATACAGTCCCAGTCCCAGGGCTCAACTCAACATTGTGTCCCCCTTTCATAACAACTCATCATACAGTCCCAGGGCTTTGACAAAAGCCAGTATCTGGGACGGTTTTGTAGAGGGTAGTTCTCCATCTCCAATATCAGTCGTACCAAAATTCATGGCACGAATGGTTGTCGTCTCGGCGCACTCAGTGATGAGGTGTACTGGTGTTTCCCCATCTTCCCCACAGAATCTGCATTCGCCGTTTCTTCTTAGTTTCAATCTACTGAGGTGTTCATTGAGGAGACAGTGTCTTGTTAAAAACCCCGTGACAATCCGAAGATTGTTCTTACTCAGACCCAGGAAGATCTGTGATTTTTCTTGATCATAAGCCCTCAGAAACTTCTTCGAGTGTCTTAGACCATTGGAAAATTTCCATTCCAGGTTGCGGATGGAATCTTCCAAGTTCTTGAGTTCCGCCTTGAGTTGGTTACCACTTGGAAAGCAGAACGGTTCTGGTTCAGTTAGTGGAGTGTTCGCTGCTTTCCTAGCTAGATTATTTGCTTTTTCATTGCCTTCTATCCCTTGGTGAGCAGGCACCCAGTGTAGGAGGACTTTGTTTTCTTTGCCTAATTTATTCAGCTTCTCTATGCATTCTTTGACCAATTTCGAATTGATTGATACTGAGTTGATCGCCTTTAACGCTGCGTGACTATCAGATAAGATGGCTATTTCTTGTTTCCAAACCAAACGAAGGGCGAAACTATCCCTCAAATATTAAAATATTTTTTATTTAAAAACCGGTGAGTTTTTCGGAAAAACTCTTAAACACGCATATTTTATTTTGTTGTTTTACATTTTAAGATATTTTATAAATTTATACAGGGTGTTTCATAAAATATGACCATTGAGTAATCACGATTCTGCTTAAACTGCTTGACGTTTAAAGCTGATTTTTTGGTATACGGATTGACTGTGGAGTGTAGAGGTTCGATAAGAAGGGGTTTTTCGAATCTCAAATTCCAAGAGGGTGAAAATGCCCCTCAAATATTACAATATTTGTTATTTAAAAAACGGTTAGTCTTTCGGGAAAACGCTTGGACAAGCATCATTTATTTGCTTTTTTACATATTTTGAATTTTTTTAAAAAATCATACAGGGTGTTTCAAAAAGTTGGGTAATTTCTTAACCACGATTCTGCTTAAACTGCTTGACGTAAAAAGCTTATTTTTGGCAAACGGATTTTTCGAAAGTCAAATTCCAACAAGATGAAACTACCCCTCAAATATTACCAAGTTATATAATAATATCGCCATATTGTTTTTTCGCATGCTGACATAAATGTGAGAAAATTTTATCCAGTTTGTATGTTAATGGAAATTCTTGCTTTGCTTCATCATCACCATTACAAATGATTAATTCGACGCGAACGAAGTCGCTGGTACACGCTAGTTCTCTTATAAAACTCACCTTAATTGTTCAATTAATTAATATATGGGGTGTTCCATTACAAAAAAACACAACTTTGATATGTAACTTTTTTGGGGATACCCTGTAGAACTCTATATTTTTAAAAAGTGCTCTGAATTAACTTACATATGCTCACAAAATTTTATTTCAATACAAACTATCGTTCCCCTTGGAGCCTCCCAGGCGTATGAGAGACGCCACCCTGTATGTAATGTGAATAAATACATAATACTCTTATAAGAAAAGGGTCGAGTTTTATAAATATATAAATTTAACAACTTTGGATCAAATTCTTATCGGTCCGTTAACCAGATTTTACACCCCAATTAGTTTAACCTTGAAATCTCCCCTCCTTTTATGAGATACTTTTACGGGATTCATAAAATAAAAATATAAGTTAACATCTATAAGGACATTTTTACATATATTTTACATATAATATTTTTACAACATCGTTGTTATATTAAGAATATTTTTATGCGTGATAAAACCACTAATATTATCAGATGTTAAATTTAATGGCGGATCTTGTGTTATAGTTTGAGAATATGTGGATCTCTATGCATAATTTATTTTAAATGCATTAGTATAATGTTCAGCAGTGGCTCGTGGCGCTTCAATGTGGTGAGGCATATTTAAAGAAAACTTCTTATTTAATTTTGATTAGACAACAGGTTGCTTTACTTATTTACCTATACACGGAAAAAACATGGGTCATCTTTGCCATATCATTTATTTTTATAATAACACAGGTCCGATTCTGCTTTGTTTCATAGTTACGGGGGTTTAAAGACTTTATTTTTTTTATTTATTACAATTTTCTTCCAAGTTCGTTTAGTGATAGATCAATGAAATTTTGCAGGTAAAACACACACCGGAAAAATGTAGGGATATCATTTTATTAAAGTTAAAAATAAATGTTTTAAATAAACAACCACATATTTGTAGGCCGATTCTTCCTACTTCGATTGAAACGAAGTAGTCACACTAGTTATTTCTAAATTTGGGATATTTGCAGAAGTGTTTGTGCATTTTTTGTCAAATGTATAAAAAGCACCTAGCATCAATTGTTCGAATTTAACATGTACTGTTTATGTTTTTATGATAACTGGCCAGAATTCATTCAAATAACTCTGTTTAGTATTAAACGACATTATGGAGCGTAGACATCTTAACAGAGACGAAATGCTAAGGGCCATAGGTAAGCTCGAAGCTGGAATGCGACAAATCGACGTAGCTATAGCATTAAATACAACGCAAAGTGTAATATCGCGATTAAGTGCACGCTACCGTGAAAGTGGTGATGTTGCTGAAAGGCACACAGGGCGACATCGCATTACTACCCCTCAGCAAGATCATTTTTTACAATTAATTGCTCGACGCCGACCGACTCTTACAGCACCAGAGCTTAGTTTAATTCTCCAGGAAACACATAATGTAACCGTTAGTCCTGACACTGTGATCAATAGATTAAGAGAGGTCAACTTAAGAAGCAGACGCCCCTGGAGAGCTCAACCCTTAACGAGAGGAAATCGAGAGGTACGATATTTGTGGGCTCAAGATCATGTTCAGCGGTCGAATGAACAATGGGCCAATGTTCTCTTCACGGATGAGTCACGCTTTGTAATTCATCCGGATTCGAGAAAGCTTAGGGTATGGAGAGAACCGGGAAATCTTATTCGGTTAGATCATGTTCAGGAAGTGCACCCTTATCAAGGTGGAACAGTTATGGTCTGGGGAGGAGTCCAGTTAGGCCGAAAAACCGATCTCGTTTTTCTTGAAAGGTTTCTAACAGGAATCACATATCGTGATTTAATTGTTGAGCCTGTCGTGTTACCATATGCCAATGATTTTCGGAGAAACTTCATTCTCATACATGACAATGCACGGCCTCATACAGACAGAGTGGTAACTGGCCGGCACAATCTCCTGACCTCAACCCCATCGAGCACGTATGGGACACGGTCCAAAGAAGAATTTTGAGAATGGGTATGCCTCGTGAAACTCGTAGGGATCTGGTTCGGGCCGTAAATGCAGCGTGGCAGGCTGTACCTCAAGAAGATATCGACAACCTGATCAGGAGCATGGAGAGACGATGTAGGGCTGTAATGAACAGTAGAGGAGGCCATACCCTTTATTAAGTAAAAATGGTTTTATCTTTTCTTTTTTTAATTCACAGTTTACAATAAAAAAAATGTGTGTATTTTTTTGAGTTCAATAAAAATCAAGGTAAATTTGAAAAATTCGGTAAATCTCGCATTTTTATTTCCAATACATCCTCTAAACTATTTGTTTATTTTAATTTTATTATATCAGAAATGCAAATAATAAAATTACTGACGATGGCTGGATAAAATTGTAATATCCCTAGACTTTTCCGGTGTGTGTAGTTACTATAAGTGCTACACTTTAATGTTAAGAAAGTGTCGACAGACTCACCAAGACGTGGATATGGATTATCACTGGAATATTTTTCTAAAAAAACATGTGCGTCACTGATTTTTGACCACTGATCCCTTGTTAGTAAAATGGCATAGGCCGTTTAATGCCGATTAAAAGTTCTATCTTGATATTTTGTCGATTTCGATGTCCTTATTGAGATAAACGCATTTTATTAATCACGATTAATAAACTTAAAATAAAATGAATAAATTATTTGTTTAATCTAATTTGTTATCAAATTTTATTAAAATATATAACACTGATGTTTACTGCTACCTACAGCAAATTAAGAAAAAAATAATAATGGTATTTGAAATAATTACAAGGCCTATTTTTTAAAAGCTTTAACATACAGTATCTTTTAAACTATGTCCATTCCAGCTCCTATTTTTATAGGAACTTTTTTTCCGGAGATAAAACAATGCAAGAACGGCAAGAGCTTTTTTTAAGTTTATTTTTTGTTTCAGGACAATCAGTGTATGAGAATCAAAATCCTGGGTGACTGCTATTATTGCGTGTCTGGATTGCCTATATCCAGACCAAACCACGCTTATAACTGTGTGAATATGGGATTACAGATGATAGAAGCTATAAGGTAAGGAAGCAAATATTAAAAAAAAACAAAAATATATTATTCCAGTTATCGCTAATAATAACATTTTTAATTATGGAAAACAGAAAAAATATTAGTTATATATGAAAATGAAAATTTTATAGTTATTTTTACTTTTTGCAATTTTTTTTTGTACATAGGTATGATATGTATAGAACATTGGTCTATGATTTTTTATGTTAGAATGCATGTCAATGCAAATATAATGTATATTTGGTAAGCAAGCCAGTGTGTATTTTCGGTGTATCATATCCACGTGAATTATGCATTTTTATCCGTTTTAATTACATTTGTTTTTTATTGCAGTTTTTAACATTATCCACTGCAATTATAAAGTATTAAAACAGAAGCACCTATCAAAAGTGGATACAATTGTTTACAGGCTACCAGTTTTCTCATCATAATTTTTGCATTGTTAAAATTGTTCTTTTATTTCTGATAAGGCAAAAACAACATGATCAAACAATAACTCACTAAACAAAGATATGAACCACATAAAAGAAACATAATAATAATAAAAAACTATTATTCGACACCAATTACTTATAACCGAGTATATAAAAAATACGTGCATTATGCTACACTGTAATATCGATACAAAACCCTTTAGTTTCTCATTAGAGGCAAGGGTTAAATATCCAATAAACTATGCATTATGGTAGTAGGAGGCCTTATAAAGTATGCGCCCATCATTGTGTGTCTTTTACAGAGTAGTCTCTTCACTGTGTAGGACCACCCTCGTCCATTTTGTTATTAAATTCTTGCCGCCTCGGGAGGACATTTCATGATCCTAATGTTGCTCTTGTCGTTACTTATTTAGAGAAAGGTCTTTGTGTCGCAGAATATTAAATAAACAAGGAAATCCATACAAACGAGATTTTGCGTAAGTGAGAAGATATTTTTAACTCTATTGTTAATTTACTTTTGTACTGTATCTTCACATTTACTTAGGATATGTGATTTTCTTTTTCTACGCTGTGTAATAAAGTTTTGATCAGGATTTATTATTATATCAAATTCTTAAAGTTTTGTTACATCATAGAATAATGTAAATCAAATATTTACTGAGTGATAGGAGAAACGGGAACCTCAAAATATTTATGTACTTGCATTAACTACTGTAAGTTGAATGAATTTTGTTTTAGTGAAGAAATTTTGATGATTTTTTCTGCAATTGTAGTTAAATTACTTGACCTTTTCAAAAAAAATATGTCAAAGATTTTTATGTTTTGTACAACAGGAAGTTATAGTAGAACATTTGTCAATATTTTTTTTAGTTAGAACATAATTTAGCATGCGAATGTCAATGCAAATGTAATGTATAAGTACCTATAATGTAGAAGTACGGATTATTGATCAAAAGTGGATACAAAAATTGGACTTTTCAGCTTATGTGATATATTTAAAAGAATTCCGTGACACAGCTTTCGAATATTACAGCAAAATATTTTGTTGGTTCATTTTTTGAAAATAATTCTGGGTTTAGACCACTGGAAGAAACTCTACAAAATAAAAAAGTTATTTTTTATAAACACCGCTGCGTTGCGCGTTGAATAATCCAAACCGAAATCAGCTTGTCAGTGGTTTTTTACTTCTATCACAAATTTGCGTAACCGCCAATGTGTCAATATTCCATGGGTATATTGATAAATGAGGTCTAAATTATAAGAAAATGCATTTTCTTCGAAAAATTAAAGAGATAAATAAAAAATGATATAATACAATTTCATAGACAATTAAATCGTGCATCTGATTCTCATAAAATATACTGGGTTCCCATTTATATTAAACAAGTTATTGCCGTTTAAAGCTAATAATTATTTAAAATAAATTTTTAGACACTCTGTATAAGGTAGTATAATTTTTATTATTGCAACACAACATTTAGTAAACAGAAATACTTCAGTACAATATTTGGTTTTAAAAACTTAAATACTAGAGCCTAGAGAAATGAAGCATTAAAATTATTACTGTATTTAGACAAAAACCTAAATATTTCAAAAACGGTAAGATTAAAATGCGGTAAATCTTAATCAAATTTACCTTTATTTTATTAGTAAAAACTAAAAATGTAATAATATACAGGGTGTTCCATTGAAAAAAATCAACTTTGATATTTTTTATGTATTTGGGACATTGTGTCTTGTAAAAATATTTTTAAATTGTAGTTCTAATAGTCCTTCAACGAACCCAAAACTTACAATTTGTAAAAATCTAAACGTTTAGCTACAACACTCCGTGTCGTATGTGGTGAACAACCCTGTATTAGATTGAATTAAAAAAAGCCTCTTTTATTTTTGGTTTGGAGGTTATCTGTTCTTTAATTATAATTTTTGCATTGTTAAAATTATTGTTTCATTTTATATGATAGGGAAACAACAACATGATCAAACAATAATTCACTAAACAGAGATATATACCACATAAAAGAACCATTAATATAAAACGATTTTCCTCTATTCTTAATTAACAACCCAAAAAGTATGTGCATTATGCTACACTGTAATATCGACACAAAACCCTTTAGTTTCTCATTAGAGGTAAGGGTTAAATAGCCAATAAACTATGCATTATGGTAGTAGGAGGTCTTATAAAGTATGCGCCCATCAATCCCGAGGCATCCTAAATATTCAGAGTGTCTTTTATAGAGTAGTCTCTTCTCGGTGGAGGACCCCCCTCGTCCATTTTGTTATTAAATTCGTGCCATCTCGGGAGGAAATTTCATGATCCTAATGTTGCTCTTGCCGCTACTTACTTAGAGAAAGGTCTTTGTGTTGCAGAATATTAAATAAACAAGGAGTTTCATAGAAACGAGATTTTGCGTAAGTGACAAGACATTTTTTAACTCTATTGTTAATTTATATTTTTTTTTGTACTGTATCTTTACTTTTACTTATCATATGTGATTTTCTTTTACTACACTGTGTTTAAGGTTAATACAGTTTTGGTTTTTCAAAAGTCTTATCAGGGTTTATTATTATATCAAATTCTTACTCAGTTTTTGTTACGGCATAGAATAATGTAATTCAAATATACACTGAGTGATAGGAGAAACGCGAACCTCAAAATATTTATGTGCTTGTGCTAACTACTGTAAGTTAAATGAATTTTGTTTTAGTGATGAAATTTTGGTGATTTTTTCTGCAATTGTAGTTAAATTACTTGACCTTTTCAAAAAAAGTATGTCAAAGATTTTTATGTTTTGCACAACAGGAAGTTATAATAGAACATTGTTCAATATTTTTTTTAGTTAGAACATAATTTATCATGCGAATGTCAATGCAAATATAATATGTATTTGGTAAGCAAGCCGTTTTGTATTTTTGGTGTCTCATATCCACGTAAATTATTATTTTTATCTGTTTCATTCATTATACATTTGTTTTCAGTAGTTTTTAACATTATCCACTGTAATTATAAAAGATTAAAACAGAAGTACGGATTATTAATCAAAAGTGGATACACAAATTGAACTTTGAGCTTATGTGATATATTTTAAAGAATTCCATGACACAGCTTTCGAATATTACAGCTAAATATTTTGTTGGTTCATTTCTTGAAAATAATTCTGGGTTTGGGCCATTGCCACTAGATGAAACTCTACAAAATAAAAACAGTTATTTTTTATAAACATCGCTGCGTTGTTCGTTGAATCCAAACCGAAATCAGCTTGCCAGTGGTTTTTTACTACTATCACAAATTTGCGTGACCATCAATATGAAAATATTCCATGGGTATATTGATAAATGAGGTCTAAATTATAAGAAAATGCATTTTCTACGAAAACTTGAAGAGATAGGTAAAAAATGGAATAATACAATTTGATAGACAATTAAATTGTGCATCTGATTCTCATAAAATATACGGGGTGTTCCATTTAAATTAATCAAGTTATTGCCGTTTAAAGCTAGTAATTATTTAAAATTAATTTTTAGACATTGTGTATAAGGTAGTATAATTTTTATTATTGCAACACAAAATTTAGTAAATAGAAATACTTGAGTACCAATATTTGGTTTTAAAAACTTAAATACTAGATCCTAGAGAAATGAAGCATTAAAAGTATTACTGTAATTTGGCAAAAACCTAAATATTTCAAAAACGGTAAGATTAAAATGCGGTACACCTTAATCAAATTTACCTTTATTTTATTAGTAAAAACTAAAAATGTAATAATGTACAGGGTGGGTCAAATTCGACGCTTTTAAATGGAAACACCCTTTTCTATAGGAGATAGACGAAAACTAATATAGGTGTCTGGAAAACATGATGGTGAAAACAGCACATCAATATCTGTTACCGTTTCGGAGTTACGGGATGTTTCTCAAAAATGTGCATTTTTAACAAATCGCTGTAACTTTTTTGCTATGGAAAATTTTGTATTTCTGTAAAAACATTTCCAAAGCACCTTTTTACGTAGAATTTAATGGTTTAAGTATATATTTTTTAAATTGATAATTTAAGAGTTATCAACAAAAAAAATGATTTTTTATTTGGGACACCCTCTAGATTTTTAATTAACTGAAAATAATTTAAAATTACCTTTCCAAAAATATAGCACATTTGATATTTTGTTATAATCCCCTTCGAAATACAGAATTTTTAAAAGATCGCCACTTTTAACTAGTAGGCTTTGGACCCCATATTGATGATATGCTCTTAATGGAACTCGAAAACATATTTTTCCAGCAAAACGACGCACCGCCTCTGAACGCTGAAGTTATCAGCACATTTTTGCAGCCAATTTCAAGAATAATTGGATAGTAACCCAGATCCCAGCCGTTGGCCGTCGAAGCCGCCTGACTTAGTGCCCATGGATCTATTACTATGGATATATTTGCGGAAGAATAAAGGTTTCTTATTCTTCCGTATATTCTAGACAAGAATTAGAAATACTTAGCAGTTATGAGAGGGTATCTTTCACCCCCACTGAGTTAATAAATTCCGCGAGAAATGTTCAAAAACTGCCCCGTCTGTTCATA